CTTCCGCCTCTCCTGCCCCCACTACGTGCGCCCAAACACCTACCTTAAAGGTACTGATGTGAGGAGCTTTCAGGTGGTTCGATGTCCTGAGCAGAGGGCCTTTGTTGGGTTAGAAATGCCCAACTAGTTGTAGATGGAAAGGGAGATACAGAAGGGGCATCTCACTTCCCCAGGATGGTACTGATGTCATTCTATCTATTCTATTGTTGAGGGCAACTTGGTAAATTCTAGTTTTTTAATGTTATGAATACTCCTGCCATGAACATTCTAGCAAGTATCTCTTGTTGAATATACTAGTATGTATGCACTTCTATCTGGTGTATCCCTCAGGGACTGGCTGAGTTAGCTGGAGTAGATAATACCAAATCCTTTTCCTAGGTGCTACTTGACAGCTTCCATCATTCCATGTTCTCTACACTTGGTATTGTCAGTCTTTGTAACTCGTCATTTTAGTGGGATTTTAATCATCAGCATGATATTTTAAAAGGTAAATTAGACTATATCTCTTTTATGCTCTAAATTGCCTAATAGTTTTTAATTTTGCCTAGAATAAAGTCCAATCTTCTTTTTATTGCCCACAGGCCCTGGGCTTCCTCCTGCCGCAGTGACTGTATCCATCAACACTCCTGCTTAGTCACTGTATTCTACAGACTTCATTTCTATTATTTTAAATTTTCCAAATTTTCTTCCTTCCGAGATTTGTTGTTTCTTCTGTGAGGAGAGCTCTTCCTCTGTGCCCTTATCCACCTGGTGGCTCCTCATCACTCAGGCCTCAGCTACACTGTCAATTACGTAGGAAAGCCTTCCCAACACCCTCGCTACCCCTTCACCAGATTCCATATCTTTCATGTTTCTCACTAACCTGAAATCTTCTCTTAAGTTTTCTTACTCAGTGTTCTCCCCTCCCCACACCTTCCCATTCCCCACTCACAGGCTCAACTCTAGACTGCCAGCTCTGAGGGGCCGCCTCCTCCCCAGCGTGGCTTCCGGCACAGAGTGCCCGGCGCGTCAGAGGAATGATACAAATACTCGAGTGAATGATGGACTGACGAATGGAAGCTGAGGGAGAAATTAGGCCTAGAACCTCAGGAAACCAAATGTTTTTAGCATTATTCTTCTGTCACCCCTGTACTTCTTACATCTCTAGAAGTTCATTCATTTCAGCAACAAAAGGATGCTATAGAGTTGCTGCTGTGTATTCTCAAGTGTCTCAGGAAAAATGTGAGGAGGGAGAGCCTTAAGGTGTAGAGAGCTTCGTGGAGCCCTGACCTCCCGGCCCGGCCTGATGTGAGCACGACACGCAAACATACTTCTACTTCATTCTCTCTATAAACTCTCTCTTTAGAGTTGGGAAATCGCTGATGTTTAGTTAAAACAAATAAAAGGTACTATGTATAAAATATACATCAGAGTATACAATCTCTAATATAAATAACTGCCTTGCAACTCTTCTGAATATGTATCATATCCTGGTTTGAGGATCAAATAGATTGAAGGTAAAAGTCAACAAACCTGAACTAAGCAATGCCTCCTGAACACACAGGGTGCTGATTTACGCTGCTGCCTGCTCTCGGGAGGAGGTGATGACCTGCAGAGGAAGCTGCTTCACTTCATAAAAAACATCAACCAATGGGAAGAGTCCCTCACCTGCTTGTGACTAACATCGTCAACGACCCATCCCTGTGACTAACAGCATAAGCTTCTAAGAATATTTGCAAAAACATCTGCAACTGGAAAGATTGCGACAGGAGGAGTTGGTGAGAAGATGATGGTAAAGAAGCCTGGTTCATCGGGGATCTGTAACCTCAGACACCCTGCTAAGGACGTTTCCCAAATGTCACCTCTGAGAAGTGGGCCTCGTCACCTGTCTTGTAAGGAAGAGGCACTGCTGGCCTGTGCTCCTTCAGGGGGAGGCCAGGACGCACGTCTGCATGTCCTTTGGAACGTGCCCTCATGCGACATCAGAGGTAGAACTCAGTGATGTGGTGGGCTGTTTCTGTTTCCCGCGACCCGCACGGGAAAACGACAGGTTCTTGGGCGGAGGAGCTGGGGATTAAGAAATTAAAGGAAGACCAAGATGCAGAAATAGATTTTAAGCTGGGGCCAGGTGGGCGCCATCCTCTCTGATGGAGAGGCGGCAAAGCGGCCTGAGCCACACAGCAGGTTTATTTTAAAGGCCTAGATTTACATATCTAGTTCCGCCCCTGCCTGATTAACATGTCCAGCCTTATTGGGGAAGCATGTTCCCAGGGCGTGGCTGCCTATGCTCTGAGTTCAGCTGACAATAATAAGAAAATGCCTAGGTGCCTCCCAGGCGGCCCTCTACACAGTGAGTTTTCTACAAATTAATGAGAGGAAGACAAACCAAGTGGGCAAAAGGGCAAACATCTGAGAAGGAATTTCTTACGGAGAACACTCACGTGGCCAAAGATGTCCCACCTGAGCAGTAAATCGTGGAATGCAAAATAAAATCAGATGGCAGCTTTACAGCATTGGGCTGACTTAGCTAGCAACATGGAACAGTGTGACATTACCAGCTATGTCGGCAAGCACGTGAAGCGGGAAACCCTAACCTTCAAAGGACACAGATGTGGAGAAAGTCGGGGATTTTCTAATATAATTGAAGATGCGCCTGCCCAATGATCCTGCCATTTCACTCTGAAAACCCGCACAGAACATTACAGAAACCTGCACCACGGCACTACTTTTAAGAGCAACATATAAATTTGAAACAACTTAAATGTCCAAAGGCGATGGATACATAAATGGGGTCTAGTTATGCAGTGGAATACGATACAGCATTCCAAGTGAATGAGAGCTACACTCCTCCAAATGCTGGGTCTCACAAATAGAATGCCGAGTGAGAAAAAGCAAGTTACCAGTGTAGAGTTGTGTAAAGACTAACAACAATACTTTGTATTGCTTAAGAAACACACACACACACACACACACACATTTTAAGATAAGAAGCACCAAGCTGAGGATAGTACATTTAGTGGGTGGGAGAGGTGTATAGAGAAAAACTGCTAATTCTTATTTCTGCTGCTGGGTCTTGCTTACATAACCTATGACCTGTTTTGAGTTATTTAGCTCTTAAATATTGTATTTAAAAACATCAAAAGTGAACATTAGAGAGAAAAAATAAAGAATTCAATTTAGGAAATTTCAGCAGGAAACAGCATTTCCTGTGGTCAGAACAAAGCAAACCTGAGCGTCTGCACCTGGGACCTCCTTAAATTCTGCTTGAATTCCTTCCTTCCCATTCTCCTTGCAAACAATGCTCCAGTTTCTCCGATTTTTCCAGCGTAATTGAGAACCTGTAGTAAATTTTGGACTTTGGTTTTTCAATTGCAAAGCTCACAGTCCCCAAGTGATAGGTCCATAGCTTCACTGGCCAAGTAAAATGTCAGGAATATCCAGTAAGAGAGAGATGCTGAAGGGGCTGGGATGGCCTTCCTAACTTCATACCCTTTGGGGCCCTGTTCTGGTTAGACTTGGCACAATGCTCACCCTCAAACCGTAACAAGATGGGGCACAAGTTTGTCTCTTTGTAAAGTAGAAACTGAAAAGGACAAAATAAAAAGATTTAGAAACATCTTTCAACACTGCTTATAACAACAGCTCTAAGTGCAAGGACTGGACTGTTTTTGATAGTAACACCTTTGTTTTGTTTTGTTTTGGGGCGGGGGCGGGGCATCCGCCTTATAAATGGTGTCTGTGCAGAGGAACTCCCCCGGTGCTGCAGGAACAGATAAGGCCTCCACTCACTGTCACCCCGCGCTCTCCAGTGCGCGGGGCGCTGCAGGGCTACACACACATGTTCCCTCAGAAGCAATTAGATGCGGAAGCAGGTTCGAGAACCCTGCGTTCTTCTATTAGGCGAGACATTAAAGAGATTTCCAAATATTGGCCATGAGTATGCAGTCGTTTGTAGAACAGTATCATTTTTCTCAGGAAGTCTGTTTGTTTTGGGAAGTATAGTTATTTTTCATGAAATGTCTGATATTTATGATCTTAGGCACATATAATGCATTTTTGTTATTTAAAATAAATGTTCAAACTCTATTTAATTTCTAACACAGCAAGTGGTGACAGACAACACCCACAGACACAAAAGCGCTGGGACCTCAGTGACCTGGAACCTTGTGGGGGTTTGCAAACCGCGGCCACACCACCTGGGAGCGCGGCTGGCACAGTCCTCCTTCCTCTCCGCCAGTGGAGCTGCTGCCTCGGGCCCAGCCCTCAGAGCCCCGGGCGGCCTGGCCAGGAACCGCCTCTCTCTCTAATCCTCGCCTGAGAATATGTTTTTATTGATTTTTTTTTTTTTTTTTTTTTTTTTTTACAGAGAGAAAGGAAGAAGCATGGATGTGAGAGAGAACCACTGATCCGTTGCCCCCCTCCCCCGCCTCCCCGAGCGCGCACAGGGGCTGGGCGGGATGGAGCCACAGCCTAGGCGAGTGCCTGCCCAGGTGGAGCCAAGAGCTTTGCGGTGCAGCCGCCCCAGCCCGGGCGCAGGGAGATCCTGAATGATGGTCGCATTTTAGATTTCCTTCCGTCGCAGTGGCCAGGGCAGCAGCCCCTGGGCAGCCCCCGCTCCCGGGCTGGGCGTCACTGGGGGCGGCCGGTTTCCTGGTTACCGAGCGCGGCGCGTTCGTGCTGGTCCCGACTCGCCAGGAGCCGCCGGGACGGCTCCCCCGGGGGGGGCTTAATGCCCCCCCGAGGGAGGACCCCGCCGCCCCGGAACCCTTGCGCCCCCAGGACGGGGGCGGGAGAAAAGGCGGGCGGGGGCCCCCCGGGCCCAGGCGCCCCAGTGGCCTTGGGACCCGCCCCCTCCGGGAGGGCCGCGCCTCCCCCCGCGCTGAAGGGGCCCCCCCCCCCCCGTAAGCGCTGGTGCCCGGGAGCAGCCCGGACCCTGGAGGTGCCCCGCCGTCCCGCCCGGAGCCAGCCCCGCACTCCCCAGCCCAGGCTCCGGTCCACCCCGGGCGCCCAGGTAGGTGTGCGGGAACGAGGTGGCCAGACCTGTGCGACCTGAGGCCAGAGGTCGGACCCCGGCGGCTTCCCACCGGCTGGGGGACCCGCATCTGCCGGCCTCCCGCCGGCCCCTCCCAGATGACCCTCACTGGACTCCCAGGTGGTCCTCCAGGTGGATCTCACCGGCCCCTCCCAGGTGGCCCCTCCCAGGTGGCCCCTCCCAGGTGGTCCTCCAGGTGGATCTCACCGGCCCCTCCCAGGTGGCCCCTCCCAGGTGGCCCCTCCCAGGTGGTCCTCCAGATGGATCTCACCGGCCCCTCCCAGGTGGTCCTCCAGGTGGATCTCACCGGCCCCTCCCAGGTGGCCCCTCCCAGGTGGCCCCTCCCAGGTGGCCCTCCAGGTGAATCTCACGAACCCCTCCCAGGTGGATCTCACCTGCTCCCAGGTGGGCCTGGCTGGGATGTAGGCTCAGGCCTGTGGACCCAAGGCCCCAGAGGCAGGGGAGGCCATGCGCCACGCACAGGGGACCCGGACCCTCAGGACTGAGGTGGCTGGGGGCCAGCCTCCCAGCGATCCCACCTCGCTGCCCAGGGAAGGGGGGCCGCCTCCTCCCCAGGAAGCGATGGTGCTCCCTGGAGGGGGGACCCGCTCCTGCCCCCACCGCGCCCCGCCTCCCCCCTGCGGCCGACCGCGGCTCTTCCACCCGATCCTGAAGGTCGGCCCAAGGATAGGAAGGGGCAGGGAAGGTACACTCGGGGCCAGGTGGAGGGCACCCCAGGAGGAAGGGAAGGCCAGTGGCTGACCTGGGATCTCCGAGGTTCAGAGGTCGCCGAGCCGGCCCCTGCCCCCACCCCTTCTCTTCCCGCAGCCTGCTATGGGGGCGGCGTCCCTGCTGCTGTGCGTGTCCGTGGCCCTCCCACTGCTTCTGGGCGCAGGTATGTTGGCGTTGCCTGGGCCTCGGCCACCTCACCGTGTGTCCCTGCTGCCAGCCCGCCTGGTGTGTGGACCTGGGGGGGTGGTGGGGCGCTCTGAGCCTGCAGCTCACCTTTCCCGGGGCCCAGGCAGGGGTCTGCGGAGTGGGAGCGTCCCTTCCAACGCCTGGTGCTCAGCCCCAAAAGGTCATGAGCTTTGAGGTGACTTAGGAGAGGAGGAGGGTAGGCAAAGTGCAAGTCAAGGCTTGCATTCAAACGGCAAATGGATGGCGTGCTGTCTGCGTCTTATGACAGCGCAGTTCTATGGCCCAAGGTAAAAGCAAACCAGGCAATTTGGTGGAAAGGAACTTTAAAGCAAGCGGGTTTTTAAACAAAATAGCTGGTGACAGAAAACAGGACAAGGAGAGTGGAGAGCAGGAAGGTTTCCTCTGAGGGGAGGGGAATGAATGAAGGCCTTCCGATGGAAGGGAGAGGGGCTCATTCCAGAGGCTGACAACGGGAGGAAGCAGGAGATTCAGTCCTATGGACACACTGGGAGGACTCTGAATTCAGCTTTCACATCAACACACTATTTTTGGGAAATTCCCACACTGAGAAAGCTCTCAATGAAATTGGCTAGGAATTGACACATTCGTTAAACTATTAATAAATAACAGCAGAGTTCCCTTTCATGATTACGTTTCCCTTCCTCTCCCTAGATGAATGCCAGGACATTCGTGTGCTAACTGAGGCATCTTCAGCAAAGCAGCCTTTTGCCTTTAATTGCACATCCCCTCTGCTCACTTCTGGGAAAGCACGGGTAACCTGGTACGGACACCCTAGCAAAGTCCCAGTCTCCACCGACTCTCAGGCTAGGATCCACCAGGAGCAGAGCTGGCTCGTGTTCCTGCCCGTGGCCTGGGGGGACTCGGGGACCTACCGGTGTGTTATAAAGTAAGTTCCTCCCTTAAAGAGCACTAGCACACTCTCCCAATATCTCTCTCACTGACATGTTATGATTGTATGTCTATAATTCTTTCAGGAAAATTCTTAATAAATTCTTAAGAACTTAAAAACTCAATGAGAAGAATAAAATATAGTTTTATAGTTGTTATAAAACAATTTCCAATGAAAACATTTTAAAGCAGAGAAGATTTGTAAATCAGTTGTTAGAATATGAAATACAGCTTTTCCCGTGGAAATGATGCCACAGCCAGACCAACTTCCAAAGCTGGTGTCTCCCACTATTGTTGTCGCTGCCCTCATTCTCCGCATGCCCAGCGTTCCTGTGATGGGCTGCACGTCCGGAGAGGAGCCAGCCTCCTTTGCCCACCTTTTTGTAAGGCGTCTGCTATGGAAATGTACCAGTGACAAAGCACCACGTATGCTCAGGCCCAGGGTACCCTGTGCTAGAAAGCAACACTGTGTAGATGAACGGCAGCTCTGGTGGGGACTGCGGTGAGCTGGAGCGTGCCTCACCAAAGGCGACAGTCTATTCAGCTCAAGTCCATTTTCCATTTTTTCAAGGAAACCTGAAAATTAGTGTGTGTGTGTGTGTGTGTGTGTGTGTGTGTGTGTAACTTTTCAATAGCTTTGTGTGTTGCCTAAATAAAACACACCTTTGGACCACATTTTGCCCAAGGGCCCCATTTTGTGACCTTCCTTTACTGACACGCATGTGCATGACCTAATGCAGCAGTCGGCAAACTGCAGCTCGCGAGCCACATGCAGCTCTTTGGCCCCTTGCGTGTGGCTCTTCCACAAAATACTGACTTCTGCTCATGGGCCACGAAGTTTCAATCGCACTGTATGTGTGCACCCGCATGCGGTATTTTGTGGAAGAGTCACGCTCAAGGGGCCAAAAAGCCGCAGTTTGCCAACCACTGACCTAAAGAATGCTTTGGCCTCCCTGAGGCGTGGTTCTCTTGTCTGCAGAATGGGAAGCATGGCAGCCTGGTAGGGCCGAAGTGAAATGAGCTGAGATCATGGGACGTAGGCGCCTCCAAAGGGAAGCTGCATTCCCTCTCATTCTGTTTCTGTGGTATTTGCTGGTCCCTTTCTGTGCCCGGCTCTGATTCATGCCAGATTCCTCATTTTCATATGTCAGATCGACCTACAGGACAAAATCACTCAGTGGTACAGAAACAGAAGTGGCCTCTTTTCAGTTTCACTCACCAGGACCATCATGCTGGGAGGTGTGCTCTCCCATGACATACGAACTAGAGGTGGAGATTGTATGTCACACAAATTCACTGTGAAATCCAGACTGGATTTAAAATATTTGAACCTGGGAGCTGGGAAATGCAGAAAATCATCTTTCACAGAAAGGAAACAGATATTGTCTGTAATAGAAGAAAATAAACAAGAATTTCCATAAAATTTTAACATATACATAGACATGATACATACTTTGTAAACTGTATATTTGAAATGCTTTCAAATTCACATAAAATTTGCAAGACTAGTATAAAGAACTCTCATCTATCCTTTAACTAGATTCCCCATTATTTAACATTTTGCCACATTTACCTTATTATTCTCTCTCCATATATTTGTACATCACACTTGATAAGTTTTCTAAATCATTTTTCCTAAATCATGTGAGTTGTAGGCATTATGACCCCTGACCCTTTACTATTTCAATGTGTATTTCCTATCAACAAAAATATGCTCTTACTAATCACATAAAGATCACACCTTTAGGAAAGTGTACTGTTGTACAATGTTTTTTATCAAACCCTCAGTCCATGTTCTACTTTTACCCATCCTCTCAGTGGCGAGCAATACACGTCTTTTCTTCCAAGTAGGGGGCCAGGCAAGATCATGCCCTGCTTCTGGCTGCCATGTGCTTTTGCTCTTTTCCCCTGGACAGGTCCTTGGGCTGTTCTTCATGACACTGACACTTTGAAGGAGCACAGGAAATTGTTTTATATTAAATCCCTAATTTGGGTTATTTCTCCCCGAGCCTCCCAGGTTGGAACACTATGACAGGGTCTGTCCTCCTAGGCCACACTCAGCGGCACCTGTGTCTGTCGACCCCTGGCCATGTCCCTGTTGGTCCCTGGGTAGGGTGCTTCCAGTGTTTCCATGTGTCAGCACTTCCCCTGGGTGCTGCGAGCCTGTGAGCTGTGCTTGTCTTGCTGGAGGCGGCGTGTTTGCACCGTGCCTCACGGAGGATTTGCACGTATTTGAAGACGACCGGCATCGTTTGGTCCTGTGATTGTTTCATGAGGGTCACTCTGTTGTTTTCTTACAGTGATACAGACGGGTGTCGCCAAGTACATGTAAACCTAACTGTGTTCGAAAAATATGGGTGTGGCATGTCCAGAAACAGTCAAATGAATTTCCCAGATGGGCACGAACAAATACTGCATGTTGGGAAAGATGACAGCCTGACATGTCACCTGAATTTCCCGAAGAGTTGTGTCTTGGATTCAGTAAAGTGGTATAAGGTAAAAAAAAAAAAAAAAGGATTTTCCCATTAATACATTAATACTGTCTCTTCTTTTCTTTAAAACCCACTTGTTTTTTCAATTTAAGTTGTATTTTTAAGGCAAAATTAGTAAAGAGATTGTGTATCTCAGACAGATTTGATAACTGATTGCTATTGACAATCTTATCTGCTAATTATTTATGTTTAAATTTATGGTTATTACTAGAGGCCCGGTGCACGAAATTCATGCACTCCAGGTGGTCCCTCAGCCTGGCCTGCACCCTCTCACAGTCTGGGGAGTGGGCCTAAGCCAGCAGTTGGAAATCCTTAGCACTGCCACAGGGCTTCCGGCTGTGCAGCACTCCCCCTGTAGGAGCGCACTGACCACCAGGGGGGCAGTTCCTGTGTTGAGCTTCTGCCCCCTGGTGGTCAGTGCACATCAGAATGAAAGTTGTTCTGCCATTCAGTTGATTTGCATATTAGCCTCTTATTATATAGGATAGCTTTGTAATATTTTATTATTTGTATCTTCCACCTCCTCCCTACCTTCCTTACTTTTCAGACCATCCTTGGCTATTTCTCTTTTCTAACAGATTAATTAATTAGTATGTTTGAGTGGGCCCTCACGTGCACATGAAGCAATAATCACACAGCATAACCCCGGAAGTCTCCTTCCCACTCCTGACCCATGTGTGTCCTGCGCCCATGGCCCCTCCCCCAACAAGCGGCTACTCTTATTAGTCCTGTTAAGTGTCATGTTTATTTTGGGGTTAAGTTCTAGTTTGCTTGAAGTCATATTATGAATGGATGTTAAATTTCATCTGCCTTTCCTAATTATTAGATATTTTTTCTTTTTACTCTGTTACTGTACTGAATAACAGGGACTGATTTGTGAATGTTATACCCATGTTGCTTTACTGGAATAATCTAAATTGGTGTGTAACCCTGTTTATATGTTGCCAGATTTGCTTGCCTGATTTGTCAAAAAAATTTTTCATCTAAATCATAAAGAGGTTGGTTTGTAATTTTTGTTGCCTGCTTTGTCCCTGTCAAATTTTGGTATAAAGGATATGCTGACCTTAGAAAATAAGTTGGGAAGTAATCTTTACTCTCTTCTGGAATGTTTAAGATTGATTTTATTTCTTCTGCCATGTGCTTTTAGTGTTTACAGTGAAGTTATGTAAGACTGGGCCTTCCTTTGAAGGAAGGTTTTTAGATTATAGAATTCAATGTCCTTAATTATAGGACCACTCAGCTGCCCTACTGCTTCTTTATAGCAAACCTAGCACATTGTGCTTGCTTAGAAATTTTCATTTTACCTTTACAATTTTTAAGTTATTGAGCTAAAATTGTTCAAAATATACTGTTATTACCTTTTTAATATTTGTAGGATTTGAGGTGATGTCTCTTTTTCATATCTGATGTCATATTTCTCTCTCTCTCTCTCTCTCTCTCTCTCTTGTTTTGTTGACTCCTGCCAGGGATTTATCAACTTGAATCATTTTTTCAAAGCGCTAACTTTGTTAACTCTGTTTCATTAATTCTGCTCTCATTCACCCGCCTCCCCTCTGTGTTCTTGGGTTTTAACTTGCTGTTATTTTAGTAACTTTATGAGATGGATTTTTGGATCATCCTATATAATAAAGAGCTAATATGCTAGTTAGACAAAACAGCAAAACGACCATCCGGACGACCGTCTGGAGGACCGTCTGGATGACCTTCTGGATGAAGCCGGAGCTGCGAGGGCCGACTGAGGCAGCCAGGGCTGTGAGGGCTAAGCCTCTTGCACGAATTTTGTGCATTGGGCCTCTAGTTAATTATAAGCCTTTCTTCTTTTCTACTGTATGCATTTAAAGTCTTAAAGCTATTTTTCTTTAAACTCATTTTTAGCTGCTTCTACACTTTTGATATATAGTATATTCTTATCATTCAGTTAAAAGTATTTTCTAATTTCTAATGTTATTTCTTCTTTGAACTCTGTATTATTTTTAAGAATTTCCTAATTTGCAAATATGGTGGATTTTTGTTGTTGTTAATCCTTACCTAAGGATATTTTTTTCCATTGCTTTTCAGAGAGTGAAAGGAAGGGTGGGAGGGGGACATAGAGAGAAATATCAGTGTGAGAGAGCCACATTGACTGGTTGCCTCTCACACGCCCCAACCAGGGGCAGGGAGTGAACCTACAACCCAGGTTTGTGCCCTTGACTGGGAGTCGAACCCATGACCCTTTGTTGTGTGGGCCGGTGCTCTAACCACTGAGCACACCGGCCAGAGCAATATAGTGGATTTTTAGAAAGTTACTTTTCTGTTTGTGGTAGTAAGCTTAATCGCACTGTGGCAGAGAATCTACTCCATATGTTGCAAGTAGTTTGAAATTTGGTGAGACTGCCTTCAATCTCCACATTTGCCAATGCCTCAGGCTTAGTAACAGAATGAGAGAGCTGCAGTCTGGGTTTGTTAGTTCTGTGATTCACGTCCACAATGCACTTTCCCCCTTCTTCTTTCAGTTGCTTAGAAAGAGATGCAGAAGTAGCCCTCGGTGGGTGTGGGTTTTGGAGTGTGGCTCACCCACTTCTGAAGCCCAGTCCGCCTTCTCAGGAACCAGTGTCCACTTCCCCTCGTGGCTCCCCAGGCTCTGCTCCTCAGGCCTCGGCCTCCACCGCAGCCTCACAGCCCCTCCTGGCACCAGTGGGACCGGCCGGGGCTTCCCAGGAGGACTCTGGCTTGACCTGCCCCTGCTGAGCGCATGGCCGTGAACGCAGTGACATTTGCAGAGGCAGGTTGTGAGCATCACTCTGCCGCTCCCCCAGTGCCAAGATGCAGGTGCATTGCACCTCATTTTCTCCCTTAGGAAATGAGTTTGGACCACATGATTTCAGAAGGCTTTCCAATCCCATGGCCACTCGCCTGAGGGCACAGCCTATTCCCTGCCATCCCAGCGTGATCCGATTAGAGGAATGGGCGGTTGTTAGCAATTTGAGCAGCATTATAATACTTATCACTATTAAAATGCATGTCAATCTCTGTTAGACCCGGAGACGAACCCAGAGCTCCATGATTGGTCCTACGTGGGCATCAACCTTTATCCTACAGATCTTTTTTTTTTTTTTTAAATATTTTATTGATTTTTTACAGAGAAGAAGGGAGAGGGATAGAGAGCCAGAAACATCGATGAGAGAGATCCATCAGCTGCCTCCTGCACGCCCCCCAGTGGGGATGTGCCCACAACCAAGGTACATGCCCTTGACCGGAATCGAACCTGGGACCCCTGAGTCCGCAGGCCGACGCTCTATCCACTGAGCCAAACCGGTTGGGCGACGGATCTTTTTAACAAGCAGGTGCTTGGCCTCTTTCTCTGCTACGAACCAGGTTATGCACGAGGGAGACTCAGGCATATTTCATTCTGAAATAACCACTCAGCCCGGGAAGACAGGAGGGAGCTAGGAGGCAGGTAGTATAAGGAGGAGGGGCCATTCTCCAGTGTCAACCTGTGCAGACCCAGTACCTCAGTTATGGCTCTGTTTTTGCCACTAACTGACTCACCCCTTGGGCCTCAGTGTTTTCATCTGTAGAATGAGAGGGTTGGAATAAATTATGAAAATATTTAGAGCTTATCATCTGCCTGGTGCCATGCCAGGCACTGGGGATGTAATGATGAGAGAGCCCTCGCTTCCAATAGCTATAGTTTACCAGAAGGGCAGACAAGCAAGCGAAACAGTTTTCCTTAGAGCACAAAGTGAACTCAAAGGAGGCAACATAGTCACAGGCCTTTCTGAGGGAGGTGACTGCTGAGCTGTGTTTACAGAATGATTGACAGCTAACCTGGGGGGAAGGGAAGGGAGAATGGGAATTCAAGGGAACAGTATGTGAAAAGGTATCAGTGAGAATGGTTGGGGCATTGATTAGAGTTTAGGGTACATGTAAGCGTGGGCTAAAGTGGTATTAGGAGTAGGAGACCTTGCATGCTAACTTACACACAGCTTTTCCCACTCACAGTATTTTAACAGCTAACCACACCACCAGGATAATGACATGATCAACTTTGTATTTGAGTGAAGTCTTCGTGTGGGCACTATAGTGAATAAATTGGAAGGACTTAATGATGGTGGTGTGTTGATTATTTAGGCTATTTTAGAATTTAATAAAAAATGGGGATCATTTTAAAAAGTACATGAAGTGGAACTGGAATGAAGGAAAGGAGGGGTAAGCAGCAGTCACTCATCTGTGAAGGCCTCTGTTCTCTCTGTTACCTGGGAGATACCATGTGGAAGATTTAAAAAGGCAGCATGGTGAGTAGGACACTCACCTACTACCACACTCAAGTAGTGAAGACCATGCATCTGGAGTGGTGCCGAGACCCATGCTTACCTCCCACAGTGCTCAGCTGGCGCGGGCGGGGACCACAGGACTGACCTGGTGCGGTTTGCAGGGTGGATACGCTGGCAGGCAAAGGGCTACAGAGTTCAGTGGCTGAAAGGGGTGATTAAAGTCGTAGCCACAGCAGTCCAGGTTGGTTTAGAAAGAAAACAATGCTCGAAGGAAACTAGAAATTAGGAGTAAATAAAAGGTTAAGGGGACTGATTCAAATTAAGATAAGAAATTGGATTAGGTGCATAGAAAGTTCAGGCAGGAAATATGGCAGACATGGTGGCAAACACTCACCGTCCACGGTGAGCCTCCTCCCGCCACAGAGACCAGGAAGCTGGAAGGAAGACAGGGCAACCAGCACACCTGCGCTGCCAGGGTGCCTGCAGCTCCGGTCCTGGATGGACTCAGCGTGTCCCCTGCTTCTGGGGAGGCTGGTGTGAGGGCAGCACAGCAGGGGCGGGAGCCTCGTGCCTGTGTCTCTGGAGTTACTTGTTGGGCTGGCTCTACCAGCTGTGACAGGATTTCACACAGGACAGCGGCGGAGTGGCCGCTCCTGCCTCTGACTGGCAGGTGGTGTAGTTCCAAATCTGGGTCCCACTGTCATGATTGTGGTGGAGGGAGCAGCTGTTGTATGAGCTGGTCCCACAGTGCGGCGCTGGACCAGACCTCACTCCCTGAGCACTTCTTAACATTTTGTAAGCACCTAATACCCTGTGTTGAATCCTTTTCTGCCTAAAATAGCCAGAATGCTTTTTGTTTCTTGCAACTAAATCCAGTCTGAGAGCTAGGACCTCATAGAGTTTTAAAAATTAAATGAAATAATCTCTCCACTAAGCATCTAGTTCACTTTGGGCACATAGCAATTACTGTAACAAACATTATTAGATATTATTACTTAGTGAAAATAAAGGGATGAAGAGGTGGCATAGTAAAAAATTATAATCAGAATGGTATATATGTTTTTAAGAGTTTAGAGACATAGTAGTTATGGACAAAGTTTAAGTTGTGGCTGGGAGAATTGAGGACTGGGAGGGATAAAGGTTGTCCTTGAAATCGAAGGGGTTGAGGGGAGAAAGTTTGGACATTAAACGCCCATTCTTATAGATGTTAGGTTAGGTGGCTCAGGAGGCAGCGAAGGAAATAAAGGGAGTTGATCAGAAAAGGAAGGAAGGAAGGAAAGTTTATTCTGCGTCCCCGGGAGACCCACGTACCCCCAAGGACAGGGCACGTGGATTCACGCCAACAGGGAGGGGGATGCTTTTTTTATACTGCAGTTGGGTGAGGGGTGGGGACATGAGCTGAGGTATTCAGTTGAGGAAGTTTCAGCTGCAGGGGGTCAGCAAGGTATTCAGGAATGAGTCAGTATCTGTGTGGGGGTCGTGGAGAAGCCAGTATCTGTGTGTGGCAGGCTGATCTGTTAGAAATGCCAGGGGGAGTCCATTATCTCGTCACACGTCTGCATGTATCCGATCCTGGGCTCCCTCCGACCTAACAATAGATAGATAGAGAAGTGCCTATACGTGTCCAATACTGTATGTCTCTATTTTTTTTCGGTTCCAAATTACTCCTCAATACAACAAGGTCCTCCTCACCATCCTGCGGAATCTGTACTGTGAGGTTACTCCTGGCTTTCCCGCTGACAAATCTAACATTTATTTCCAGTCCTAAGCTTGATTTCCTAGTAGCGTTCATAACTACTGGACATCCTTTCCAGCTAAGAACTCTCTCTTCTATTCTACCTGAGACTCATTTCTTTTATCTCTGCTCCCCCACACCCCCATTCTTTCCTTAGCAACCATCACTGGATTCTCATCCTCTATATTGGGGCCTTAGATTTTGGGGTTTCAATTTCAGCCACGGTCATCTTCTATTCTTGCCTTGATTACATTCAAATCGGGATGGCTCACGGAACCATTCATGCACAGAGGGCTCCCAACTCTCTCTCCCACTTTGATCTTTCTCTCAACCTCCAGATACTTTGTCCAATGGCCTAACATGTATTCCTCTTAGACATTTCCATCCGTAACTCAACCATTGCCACCATATTTAGAGCCACTTTGGTCTCACCCCCAAATCTGATCATTCTTTTGTATTTTCTTTACATTCTCTCTCCTATCTAACAACACCTTTGCATAACCAAAATGGGGTCATGAAAATCCTGTTCTCTCTCCATATTCCAAATTTGTCCCTGAATTCTGTGGATTGGAATTGCTTATCATCATTGTTTTTGTGTTCTCTTCTTGCTGTTGTTACTGTACTGCAGGGGTCCTCAAACTACGGCCCGCGGGCCACATGCAAATACAAATATTGTATTTGTTCCCGTTTTGTTTTTTTACTTCAAAATAAGATATGTGCAGTGTGCATAGGAATTTGTTCAGAGTTTTTTTTTAAACTATAGTCCAGCCCTCCAACGGTCTGAGGGACAGTGAACTGGCCCCCTGTTTAAAAAGTTTGAGGACCCCTGCTGTACTGCCTTAGTTCATGCTCTGTTTAGCCTTAGTTTATGGAAATAACTTTCTAAAATTTTTCTAGTTTCTTGATCATTTATCTTTAATCCTTTCCCTCACAATGAGATAGATTACTCTCAAACACAAATGTAATAACCTTATTCCCTTGCTTAGAAGGCTTCCAATGCACATCCCTTTCCATGGTTTCCGATGACATACCTTGCCTGTCCCTCTGGTTTCATCTTCACATTCTCCCACAGCCACAACCTCTCAGTCAGAGCTCTGGGCTATTTTATGCCTCAGAACCATTGTACACGCTGGGCCAGGAGTGTTCTTTTTGGTGCTTGAAACATGAAACACATTCAAATATTGGCCATTATGAATTTTTAAATTTTAAATCTTATTAGTGAGCTATCACCCAAGAATCTCTATATATAAATCCTAACCAACCAAACCAACGACCAGTTGCTATGACATGCACTGACCACCAGGGGGCAGATGCTAAACACAGGAGCTGCCTCCTGGTGGTCAGTGCACTCCCACAGCGGGAGCACCACTCAGCTAACCGACCTGCCCTGGCCACCCACCAGCCCAGCAGCAGCCAGTCACTCCCTCAGTAGTAGTGCAGGTCTAATCTCCAGAGAACGGGCCAGGCACAATCCCATCAGCACCGCCAGCCTCCTGGAAGTTGGCCTCAGGCACTGCAGTCACTTCCCCGCCCTAGACACTCTGCAAGGAAGAAACAATATAAAAGTGGCCACCAGGTGGCTTCCGATAACTGGCGCGAATGTCAGCAGGATGGATCCAGATCCTGGGCCGGCAAGGGAGGCCCACCGCCCACCTGGAAGGCTGATCGCGTCCAGCCCCCTCGCACCAGCCTTGGGACAAGCACCAGATGCAGGGCTTACTGCTGGCAAGCGCAGCTATGGTGACGTGAGCCTCTCCCGATCAGGACTGACTGGGTGCGAGCCCATGGCAGGCACAGCAAGGCCAGGATGAGCGGGAATGGCAGGCAGCATTAGACTGCCGGTTTCTGCCCAATTCCCGCAGGCCATGCGGAGGGACCCCACCTGTGCACGAATTTGTGCACCAGGCCTCTAGTTGTTAAATAAAAATCAAAGCCTTATGAGAATTTAGACTCTAAAATAATGCTTCAGTGGATTATATTAGAGGCCATCCTAGTTACCGTAAAAGGATAGAATGGCTCTTAAGCTAGCAAGGCTGAACTTTCATATGGTTAAATATTTGTACCTGAAAGAAAGAATGAGTCCATTGCCAAGGGGGCTGCTCAGCAATGGAAACAAGGAAAGTGAGGCCCAGAGACTGTGCCTACCTAAGCCCATGTAGGGAAGAGGTTTCCACAGTCCAGAGATTCAAGCTTTTTTTGGCTTCTCCTCCGAAGAAGATGACATCACACTATCAGAGTCTGATGCTTTCCCCATCTGACTCTTACTCACTCCCGTCCCATGGGTAAGCCATTGTCCAGTTACGGCTTAGTTCCCATGAAGATGTTTATAGAGCAATAATGGAAGACTTCTAGGAAGTTGTAGTTTACATGGTAAGTAAACGAATGCTTGTCCTGGCATTATTGCATTTCACCTTCTGAGACAGATTTGTTAACACTGCTCCGAAGGCAGAGAATGAGGTCTAAAACGTGGGCAATGAGGTCTTTATCTATAAGTTGAGGGTTTGAATGGCTGTCTTCTCTGTTATCACGAGTGTGCACTCTCTGAGGCAGGGACTGCATCTTCCTCCTGCCGTGGCCTCTCAGTGCGAGCAAGGAGCAGGAACTTAAATGCTGAATGACTAAAATGGGCTCCATTGTCCAAGATGTCACTTTGTAGAGTGGAGCTTCCTGAAGAAGGGGAAAGATATGAGCGTTCAGAAGTGGGTCTGAGAGATGGGAGAAGTAGCAATTAGCATAGAATGGGAGCTTCTGGGAGGACAGGTGGGTGTGAGACTTGGCCTCTGGGTGGCTGCTGAGGATGATAGGTGAGAAAGGCGTCCTGAGACCAACCAGCCTTCAGTGGGTTTGGGCTGAGGCTGTTTTGTGGATGCAGTGGAAGCAGGGGGTTGGGGGGTGTGAGAAGTGGCCTGGCGTCTGCTGTTCATAAACCTCGTCAGCACACGTTGACTATGGTCCAAATAGAAGGCTGGGAATGAGTTATTTTTGACCTCTGAAAAGGCCAACCCTTGAGAAGTGCAGGTACAACAGGGCCTGTGACACAGTGAAGCAGGCCTTGGCCAAGGGGCGTGGTGCCATCAGATGGTGGCCCATGGGGAGAGAAGGCCCTGCGGGTGGAGGACTCTGCCTGTTCACATCCTCCCACTGGACGCATTTATGGCCCAGCCTGTCTTCCTCCATGGAGTCTTCCTCCAGCCGGCATAGTCTCTGTCCATCGACTCCCATTAGACTGAATGTTTGTAACACTCACTTCAGCCTGTTAAACGTTCTCTGTCAACTCTTCCTGGAGAGCATTATACAGACTTCAGTTAGGTTATACACTACCTAACGTCTAGGGGCCACACAGTTTCTTGTATCTCCTCACGGTTTATGGAATGCTGCCAACTGGGAATGTGACTGATCCCAAAATGCTCTTTGAGTTGAATTTTCTTTTTTTTTTTAATCTTTAGGACTGTAAAGAGATTAAAGGAGAGCGTTTCACTTATTGGAAACTAAAGCTGTCAGTGAACAATGTTTCGGAGGAAGACAGAGGGAGCTATGCCTGCAAAGCCAGCCTGACACATGCAGGGAGGCAGTTCACTGTGTCCCGGAGAATTGCCGTGAATGTCAGTAAGTATGCTCATGGTCACTGCCTGAGCCTGCGGCTCTGTGGGAGATGGCGCTCTGACTTTGAGACGAGTGATTGATTCTCCTGAAGGTGTTGTATTGTAAATCAGCGAACTAGATACAAGACGCCTTAACAAGTCAATTAATTAGGAGTTTTTTATTGTATGCGGGTTCAGAGCAGAATATCTGTCAAATTCTGAACAAACGAAGGAGTATTCCCTTTTTATATCCTTCTAGGTTTTTGTGTAAGTTATTATTGCCAACAGCCTGTAACCTTGAATATATATCATATCTAACAAACACCTGTCATATCTATACAGACAACTTGTAACCTTGAGTACATATCATATCTAACAAATACCTGGCATGAGAATATTATCAGTATCAGCATATCAGCCCCTTACATTAGATGGCTAGCTTGCAAGGTCAGACAGTTAAGTTTATCTTTTCTATTATTCAAGCTAAAAAACAAAGTTATATTTTATAGAATAAGAGACTGTCTAAAAATAACATAGCTGACTTACAGAGCAAGGGACTATCTAAAAATAGCAGAGAATTTCAAACAGCAGTTTCAAACAGCAGTTTTTCCAAACGAGGGATTATTATGCCTCAAAGGTTAGCAGGTTCTCACATGTCACTATTAGAATCAGAGGGTAGAAAGAATGAGACATGAGCAGTTTAATTTCCTCATCTGAGAAAACAGAATACGCAAAACCCTTGGTCCACTGTAATTGAAACACACACACATCCTGTATGTAGAGTAGCTATTGGGATGCCTGGCCAAGAATAGAGATTTAGTAAGTGGTGGATATTGTGAAAATTACTCTGTTTCCCTGAGCCCTCACTGGTGTGACTCTTTCGGTGGCCATGCCAGCTTTGGTCTCTGAAATTGGTTCCAGGATGCCTCATGCCCATGGGGTCTTAGTTCTCAGCCCAGAGAGCTGGATTTCTTAAGCATATGCCCTGAAAATTTTAAAGCCGAATCTTAGGGGTAGAAGAAACCCGAACTAGCAATGTCGCTTGAGCCATTAAGCTTGCAGAGGTTCGGGAGGAGAAGGCCTCCTGTCCTTACAAAGTGGTTAGTGGAGGCCACAGGCTGAACCCAGGCCGCAGGGCCGGGCAGCAGGTTCTCTCTAACACACTCAGCAGGTGCTTCTGCTTGCTGCCTTGGCTTTTTTCCCAGTAGAGAGTTGTTTTCTATATTTACTCCTCTAAATGGGAAGAACTGAAGGCTAAATACATCTTTATTTTAACATTAAATTTATTGGGTAACATTGATTAATAACATTATGTAAACTGTAGGCGAACAATTCCATATAGCACATGTCTGTATGCATGTCTTTGCCTTGCCCCTTCATGTCTGTCACTGATTTCTGTCAGCCTTCATGTCCTGGGAATGCTTAGAGATTTCTTGATGGTGTGGCTGTCTGAGGAGGTGTGTCCAGCTTGAGTGGCTTCCTGCTTCCCACCTGGAGCCCCTGAACTGTGAAAATTAATTGCATTAGTTGTTACGATTTTTATGCTTTGGGTTTTATGCTGTGATACAACTCTGAAAGTAGGCACTTTGTGTTGGTCACAGTTGAATCCCTAACACTGAACCCAGTGCCTGGCCCACGTTAGGCGCAGATCTATGTGTGAACTGAATGATCGACTACTCCTATACTTTAGTTTTATCTGTAGCAGAGGGAACTCTTTGAAAGGCAAAGTTTCAAAGGCATCTGAAGAATAAGTCAGAGGTCACTGAGTCCAAGAGTCTGATTTTATGTATTTGAAGTAAACATTTATTTTGATCTATTGTATACCCCAAATTGTTAAAATTTGATAAACAAAAAATTTTAAAAACTACACTTTGTTTTTTCTGTTGAGAAGCTCTCAGCCTCGTGGTAGTGGAGCTAGGGAGCATTTCACATTATGTGGTGAGGACCGTTATAGACAGTGTCTGAGGGAGCAGGAAAACATTCAGAAGTTGCCCCATGGTGGCAAGTAAATGGCCTGAAGGCTTCAGAAAAGAAATGTCATCTGAGCTGAACTGTGAAGGATGAGTAGGGTTTATAGAAATAAAGAAGAGCGAGGAGGGGCAGAGAGAAAGAAGGCAAAGCATAGAAGTGTCTGCCATTGTAGATTATGTTGGATGTAAAACTAATCTAGACAGAGCATATGTAAGTACAAGGTGAGGAGGCCACAGGGTCACATGGGCAAGGCCAAGGGGACCGGTCACATGCAGGCGTATCATGTTGCTTCTGAAGAGCCCTGGGTCGGGTGCAAGTACAGAGCGACAAGGCTGTGTTTGTGATGGTGAAAGTTTTGAGATGGTTTGGGCAGGAGTTGAAGAGGGTCTGAGGCCTGGACCATTTAGAATGCTTCTTCAATGTCCAGAAGAGTGTTGATCATCTAAACTTGGATGGAAGCGGTAGGGCTTCTTCTCAGGCAGTCATTCAGCGACTCTTCACTCAGTGCCTAACAAGGCCAGGTCCTGTGCTAAGCAGAGAGAACATGATGGTGAGGAAAGCAGCCAGGTCCCTGCTCTGCCAGGGCTTTGAAGCCTGAGCAGGGAGGGAGGGAGAAATTTATCCGAGAGTGTGCTAATGATAACAACTAAGGACATTAATGCAATGAAGGAAAGGGAGATAGAGCAAACAGACAAGGACCCATTGAAGTCAGGGAAAGCTTCCTGATACTGGTGATGCGATGGGCAGGAGTATTCACTGAGGGGTGGAATGGGTGAGCTCTTTTGAGACTGAGGGCGCAGTCCAAGTGAGGGCCCTATAACAAGACAGACAATGGCGTTTCTGAAGGATGGAAAGCAGACAGGTTGGCTGGAGCTATGGTGAGTGATGGAAATCATGTTGGGTTATAAAGTTGGAGAAATAGTCAGGAGCCAAGATTCGGTGGGAATATGCAATCTAAAGCGGGAAGTATGGATCTATCCTACGAAAAATGGCAGAGAGGTTGAGAGCAGGCTAGCTGATGTGACTTACATTGCGGAAAGCTCACTGTGGCTGCTGTGCACAGGATGATCCCTCAGAAACAGGAGTGGCGGTTAGTAGGCAGGTGAAGAAATGCAAGTGCAATGTCAAGTAGGTACAGGCAACATGATGGCCCTGAAGATGGAGGGGTGTGATGTGATGGATTAGAGGCATTTTAGGAGGTAAATCCACAGGTCTTCATGTAGGATTGAATGTGAAGTGAGGGATGTGGCAAGATCAAGGTCGCTAGGCTTTTGGGCATACACAAGAGATTGGATGATGATATTATTCAATAAAATAAGGTAACGTTAGAGGAAAACTGGGGTTAGGAATGTGATCATGAGTTTGGTCATGGATAAAGTGAGTACATGGACAAAGTGAGTACATGGAGAATGTGAGTACATGGAGAATGTGAGTACATGGATAACGTGAGTACACGGATAAAATGAGTACATGGATAAAGTGAGTACATGGTGGTTTTGAGTTGCTCAAGTGGAGACACTGAGGAGGCTGTAGCCTATGTGGGTCTGGATCTTAGAGAAAGAACTGGAGATAGTACAGCTTACAAGGTCACCGGCCTTGAGGTGGTAATTGAAGAGCTGTATGTAAACGAGAGTGACTAGGGAAAGAGTAGAGAGTAGAAAATAGAGGGTTTAGGAGTAAGTAGTCACAGACTGAGAAATGTTAAGAGGTAAAATTAGTTTGACTTGGTGATTGGTCATTTGAAGAAGGTGAAGGAAAAGCTGTTGCCTAGAATGACTTTTAGATTTTAGATGTGTGTGGTCATGTGGAAGGCGGCAATTATCTAGCTGGTGATGATTTCTGTTTGGGATGTACTGAATCTGAATAGTTTGTAGAAGGTGCAAATATTATTGCCATATAAAAGATGTATGTTTTTGCATTTTCCTAGTTTCCTTTTTTATAACTTCCACATCCCACCAAATGGATAGGAAGAATATGGGACTAAGAGAGTGACTGTTAAATTTTGGTGGACAAATGAGGAAGAGAAGTACAGAAAGATGAAAGGGTGAGGGGGTCCATGTCATATAAGGTAGGCAATTATAAAGTGGTGTGTAGGGATGATAGAGCTAAAAAAAAAACAGGAGGGAAAGGACAGGAAAGACATGAAAAAGCAGGGTTGGGGGGACGGAGGAATGGACTAAAGACAAGACATTAGGGTCATTGTTTCTATCTAGGACCTAGGCCAGAGCTTTAATAATAGCCAATGCTTTAGAAGTATATTTAGATTATCAGAGATTTTTATTACATAACTAGGGGCCCAGTGCACGAATTCGTGCACCTTGAAAGGAACTGTGGGCTGTGAGGCTGCAGTGGGCACAGGGGTGGGTCTCAGCCCATCCTCTGTGCCCCCACCTGGCCCCTCCCACAGTGGCCTCTGGTCCCGTCTGCTGGCAGCCCTGCTCCCAGTGCTGCTGCCACTCCCATGTGCTGACGGCATGGACCCCGCCCAGCAGCGGGTGCGAGCGGGGCCGGCACCATCAGTGGGTGTGAGCGGCGGTTGCTGCTCAGATCACCCCCCAGGAGCAGGGGGAGGTGGAGAAGCTCTCAGGGACAATTGAGGTCAGCAGCTGCCGCTCGCACCTGCTGACGGTGCCAAGCAACCGGGACCAGCGGGTGTGACTGGGACCAGTGCTGGCAGCAGGTGCAAGCGCCAGGCAGGACCAGGGCATGCGGGAGTAAAGAATTGTCAGTAACCACCAGAGGCTCACCCAGATGACAGCGACGGGTGCCCTGCCTTGGTCTGGTGCTCCTGCTCACCTGCTCCACCATCCTGCCAAGGCTGACACCCGCCATGTTCTGTGCATGCCATCTGGTGGTTAGTGCACGTCATAGTGACCAGTTGTTTGGTTGTTTGGTTGTTCTGCTGTTCAGTCTATTTGCATATTAGGGTTTTATATATATAGATCTCATCAGTTTATATTTATACCAAATATGTAAATACTAGAGGCCCAGTGCACGAATTTGTGCACGTGTGGGGTCTGGCCAGCCCACCCTGATCAGGGCCAATCAGGCTGGGCCAGCTTGGGGGAGGGGACATGGGAGGTTGGCCAGCCAGCCCCGCCCCCTGGTCGAACTCCCGGTAGAGGAGACAATTTGCATATTAGCCTTTTATGATATACAATATAATGGCAAAGCAAATTCTCTTGGTAGGCCAGCTTTTAGGTTTTTTCCTTAACAATTCAATTATTTTTGGTTTAAAAATATGCATTTATAGAGTGACACTGTCACGACATGAGTTCTGATTTTTTTTGACAAATGTTTTTTGAGGGTCTGCAAGTTTTTTAATGCTATTATCACATTAAAGTAATTGGGAATGTATTGTATGTGATTCTAATGCAATTTCATGTGTGATTTCTTAGCAGAAAATGTTGGACATGAAGGAAGAATCCCTAAAATAACGTATCCAACAAACAATACAATTGAAGCACAACTTGGTGAGTAAAGTTATGAAAGCCGTTGAAATCATTAAGGGTAGAAATCAACAGCCTAGTGAATTTCTTGAATTTCAAGGATGAAGAAAATTCCACACACATCCGTTTTCCAGCTTGGGGGTACCTGAGCTCCTCAGGAGAGGCACCGAAACAACACACCCAGGGAGCCGAGTCCTGGGCAGTGGTGGTATCCAAGGCCTGGCAGCGAGCACGGCTGGTCTCTGGTCTAAGAGTGAATTTCAACCCGCTGGCCGTAGGCATTTTACAGCCTGCACTACCTGATGTGTAGTCAGAGGCTCTGACCTCTTCCCTTAGATTGTCAAATTAAAAACTGACAACAGCCAACACAACAGCCATCCAGGGTGAACGAATCAAAATTATACCTATTTTTTTGTCAGATAGGCAAAACATATATTTTTTGGTGCGCTACAAATTTTAGTAATTAGTTTATGTGTGCCATGAGTTGAAAACGATTGGAAATCACTGGTCTAAATGATTAATGTAAATCTGTTTATGCAAAGGCAATGAAATGTAAAAATAATTCCCAAAAGAGATGATAAAACTACTAATATAATGTTGGTCAAGAATTCTGAATGATATAATCTCGCACTGGAAATTATTTTAAAGGAGTAGAGAGAGTTATCATGTTATTTTCCTTATTTTACTTAGGAAGGGACCAGTGAACATTGCCTCAGTTTATGATCTAAGTGAAGAAAAAGAAGCTCAAATTATTTTTTAAAATGTAAAGGTAATTGCTAATAAAATACTAGTTGAATACTTTCTGAAGAAAAAAGTAAATTAAACAAATTATTATTAAAAGATAAATGCTGAGGTTGAATCAAATATTAAAATCCGGTTACATGCTATTTTTAAAAGACATAGTTCTAAAATACATGACCTAGAAGATTAAATATAAATTCATATGCCTTGTATAACTTGGCAATATGAATCTTTCAATCTGATAAATGTCTTTTAATGCAAAAAATTAAATGACAAATTGAATCATTTGATACTAATAAAAATTATAATTACCCCTCTCCCCTCAAAAAAAGTTATGTGCCAAATAACAGTGCATCAAAATATTTGAAGCTAAAACTCTCAGATATACAAAAGCAATACGATAAGACAATACAATTATTTTAATTATAGTGGGAGATTTTAACATCCTCTGGATTTGACTAATTTGTTAGTCAAATAAGGATCTGAAAAATTATAGTAACATGATAAGAATAATGTATTAAATAAATCACACTAATACAAATTATGAAAAACTCAAGAGTCCCAGAAGAGGAAATCAACAACTCTCTCTTCTATTCATTTGCTTTGCTGGTTAGATTTAACTCACAGCCATAGTTGCAGATTACTTACAAAATAATGGCAGTGAAAACATGTCAAGCTTCATGGAATGTGACCAACGCTGAATCTAAACAAGATACAAATATCATCATTATCAATAGTAAGTGCAGAAATAATAGAAATGCATAAATAAATAATTTAACTTTATAAAAGGGGGCAACAAAATAACCCATGGCAAAAAATAACAAAGATAAAAGTAAAAAGATCATGACTTTATTAAATGGTAAGTTCCAGGGTTGGTTCTGGGATAGAAGGGCTCGTGGTGGGGTGGCCTGGGGTGGGACTGGTCCGGGCGCGTCAGGTCGGAGTGCTTTGATGTGGGTTGAAGTGGGGTGGATTTTATAGCGTGGTGCGTGTGTAGTGCGGTGGAGGGGGGGAGGCGGGATAGGACGGAGCAAGAGGACGATTGATAAGGCGAATTGAGGGTTACTGAAATGTAGTTAAGATGGTTTGACTCTCTTTTAGAGGGGTGGGGGGTGGGG